CTGGTCTGTGGAAGCCCTATCACAATCCTTACTTGGGCTGAGGACAGTGTTACTGTGAACAAGCAAGGGTTCAGTTAGCGAAGAAAGGAGAGTCTGGAGATTGAGTGGAAAGCTGATGCAGGCTGTGACAGATCCTCAAGGACACCATGCCCCCTGTCACTTTGGGCCACGATGGGCATCAGTAGCAGGGCCTTGGGTGGCTGTGCTGTTGTTCTTTGTTCGTTCTTCCCACACACAGTTAACCAGCGCGGGGGGCTGGGGGGTGGCAGAAGGAGAAGCAGCAGGTACCGCAGATGGAGGCCATCCTAGGTGCTTTGTAGAGGAAGTGCCATCAAAGCCACCAGTGGAAACCAGGTGACCATTTGCCAGCTCATCTTCTGTGTGTGTGTGCACGTGTGTAGGTGTGCACGTGTGTAGAAGTGCACGCTAGTCAGAGTGCACATGTGCTAGAGTGCGCATGCGGGAGTGTGGCACTGGATCTGTGAGCAGGCAAGCAGGAGGAGGCATGCGTACTGCAGCAGAGGGCAGGGTTTCACTGGAGGAAGAGGTAGAACATTTACTAAGGGGAAAGGAATTCAGTGTAGAAGAGTGGAGCTTAGATAGCCAGGAAAGATGGCCAGACACCAGACCTCATGGCCTTGTGAGCCACCTGAGTTCAGACTTTGTCCCAAGGGTCATGTCCACTCCAGCCTTACTAGTGGGAGACAGGTGAGAGTGTCCCCAGCCACCAGCCCTGACTAGCAAACAGCCAGCACATGAGCCTTCTTCATACCCATAGAAGACAAGACTCTGGGTTAGAGGAAGGGAGAGTAGTTTAATAATAATGTGTAGGGATAGAGCTTTTGCCTCAGGGAAGGAGACCAAGGAGTAGGGAGGAAGGAGAGGGAGAGGGGGAGTAGAAAGAATTGAGCTGTTCTGTGTGCATGCACCAGCTCCCCACAAGGAGTGCAATTAGTACATGGCAAACATATACTAATAAACAGGGAAATTAATAATGGCGGGGAGGGGGTTATTGTTGTATGGTATAAACAGGCCTAAGGGCAGGGGCTTCGTGCACAGATGAACAGAGGCTCAGGTCGTCCTTGTGAATCTCTCTTTCTTCGCGCTTCCTCTCTTCACGTGGGCTTCATTTCCTGGGTTGCAGCAGGCGGCCAGCAGAAGCTTCGACCTCAGCTTCTATGGACCTGGGACCCCAGAGGAGGGAACAGCAGCCCCTGCCACATCCAGGGAGAGCTCTCCTTGCCCACTCTGGCGGAGCGCCCATCCCTGAGCTGATCAGTGAGGCCGAGGGAGGCTCTGTCCTAGCGGGTCAGGCTGAGGTGCCAGCCCAGGAGGAGGGCAGGGAGGGCATGCAGTGCTGTTGGGCCTGGGTGGGCTGCATCCCCAGCAGCCATCCTCTCCTGCTCTGTTCTGGCCTCGCAGTCCAGGTCCGTGTCCCCGCCCCTGCCTCCCTCCTGCTGCTCCTGTACCCGGTGATTCCTGAGAACTCTCTCTCTCTCTCTCTCTCAATGACCCTCTGGCCTCCTCCACCAATGCAGCTGCTTCTGAGGGCTCTAGAAATCCCCTGCCCCATTGGCTGTGCTGCTGCTGAGCCCACAGAGGGACTGGGCTGTCTCCCTCACTCTGCTCCCTCTCCCACCAGTAGGGCCTCCTCCAAGTGGGAAGCAGGCAGCTTTCCCAAGCACAAGCACTGCTTTATTCTGCCACACGCACAGCGCTGTGGCTGGAGCTCTCCATCTGACAACAAATATGAAGTCTACCTCTGAGATTTTGCAAGAATATAAATAACTGGATGCCCATGTGGACTGAGTTCACAGAGCACTCTGCCCACCGAATGGGAGACCGAGACTCGGAAGTGACACATGGCCCCAGCTTGTCCACCACAGCTGCCTCCCATTTACCCTCTGTTTGAAGCTGCCTCTGCAATCCTTGGGTTACCCAGCATCCTTTGGGTGGCAAGGGGGAAAAAACCCAACTTTCATGGGCATGAGCAACAAGTGAATTTGTTAGCACAGCTAGATCCAGCCCCAGTCTCAAATCCTCTGGCATTAGGTGCTGGAATTTCTAAGGCACATCCTTACTACTCAGCAGCTGCAGCAAGAGCTCCAGGCTGCAAACCTTGCAGGGCAGGTGTCCTGTGTGATGGGTAGGGACCCCTTGGGCTGTGACTGTCTGGGGCCTTCGGTGGGTCTGTCTGACTGATTTAGTCCCTTCCCTCTGTCTCCACTCAGGTGTTGCCTGAGCCTTGGACTCCTCCTGCCCACTCTAGTTTTCCTTCTCATCAGGTAATGAGTCATCAGGGGTTTTGAGTGTCATTCACTGGTTCCCCTCAACTTCCAGTGCCTGGGAGAAGGGGGCGGCAGAGAGCTGTCGGCCTGATATAAGAGGGTCCTCAGGGCAGCACTAGAAGCCAGGGAAGGAGACTTGGCCCAGGCCTGGGGTCGCCAGAAGGCAGGAAATACAGAGTCATGGGGACAAAAAGAATCATGGGCACAGGTCCTATGATCCCTTCTGGCAAAGCAGTGCTGGGAAGCTATGTGTTCACATAGAGACCTGGGTTCAAATCCTAGGGCTGCCGCTTAATGCAGTGTCACTTTGAGCTTAATTTGGGGGCTTTTACTTTGTCCCCTGAAAATTTGTGGGGCTGTCACTCAGAGTGCATGCCATTGCACAAGACTGGCTGACCCCGGGGCTCCTGTGGTACAGAGACACTCAGAGAGCACTGCCCGCCCCTCCTTCCTGCCTCCTTCGGCTCTGCTCCAGGGATTTGCTAGGCAGTAACGTGAACATTACCCTGAGTTCTTACTTTTACTGTTTCATCATTATTATTTTTACTTAATTATATTTTATTTGCATTTTGTTACTTAATATTTTTATTTTTCTAAAATTTAGAGCTAACCATGTTTCCCCTCCCCTCTGCTTGCTGCATCCTGGCAGATGCTGGGTATCACTACATCTTTGGTGGCCCAGGACAAGGCAGAGACCAGTTTTCTTCCAGCAATTTTGAAGTTTCTGGTCTTATACCTAGGGTTTTGATCCTTTAAACTGATTTTTGTACAGGATGAGAAAGAGGGGTCTAGTTTCGATCTCCTACAAGTGAATATCTGATCTCCCCAGCACCATTTGTTAAAGAGACTGTGTCTTTTCTCCATTGTACATGTTTGACTCCTTTGTCCAGAATCAGGTGGCTGTAGTTGTGTGGCTTTGTTTCTGTGTCCTCTATTCTTTTACATTGATCTGTCTGTTTTTGTGCCAGTACTGTGCTGTCTTTGTTACTATAGTTTTGAGGTATAATCTGAAATCAGGTATTGTGATGCAGCCTTGTTCTTTTGGTTTAGGATTGCTTTAGCTATTCTAGGTCTTTTGTGTTTTCATAGGAATTTTAGGATTGTTTTTTCTGCTTCTGTGAAGAATGTCATTGGTATTTTGATGGGGATTGCATTGAATCTGTAGATCACTTTTGGTAATATGGTCATTTTGGCAATATTAATTCTATCAATCCATGAACATGGAAGGTCTTTCCTTCTTATGTTTCTGCTTCAGCTTCTTTCTTCATATTCTGAAATTTTCATGGTAGAGGTCTTCCACCACCTTGGTTACACTGATCCCTGGGGTTTTTTATTTATCTGAATCTATTGTGAATGAAATCGTTTTCCCGATTTCTTTCTCAGTCCACTTTTGATGTATAATAGAGCTATTCTTTTTTAATGTTGATTTTATATCCTGCCACATTGCTGGATTCATTTATCAGCTTCAAAAGTCTTTTGGTAGGGTCTTTAGGGTCATCTAAATATATGATTGCATCATTTGCAAAGATAATTTGACTTCTTCCTTTCCTTTGACTTCCTTCTTTTCTTTAGGCAACAAATTTTTTTCTTGCCTAATTGCTCTAGCTAAAATTTCAAAAACTACCTTGAATACGAGCAATGAGTAGATATCCTTGCTTTGCTCCTGACCTTTTTTATTGGAGACAGGGTCTCACTAAGTCTCTCATTTGCCCAGGCTGGGCTCAAACTTATGATCCTCCTGCCTCAGCCTCTCTGCTTCTCTTTAAATCATTCATTATATTAGATTTAATGCATTTAAAGGACTCCTTTCATGAATTTGAAAGTTTTAAAGTATAAAATTTTTAAAATGACACCCACAAACCCCATCACCCCAAAAGAACTAGAAAGTAAACAACCCTGTTGATGCTTCCTGTGGGTGCTCCCCCTGCCCCCCCATCCCAGTGACTGCCAGCCTGAATTTTGCCTCTTAGAAGCTAATCTGATCTAATCACATATGGATAGGTTCAGTCCTAAATTTTTCCAATTTCTTTGCTTTTCTTTTAAAGCTTTACCACATATTTATATCTTTTTTTTTTTTTTTTTTTTTTTTTTTTTGGTACCAGGGATCAAAATCAGGTCCTTCCGCTTGCAAGGCAGGCGGCGAAACCACTGAGCTAAATCCCTGGCCCACCACATGTTTATAGATCTCTAAATAATATTTTTTTTTCCTTTTGATGTACTGGGGTCTTGAACTTATGGCTTCATGCATGCTGGGCCAGCACTCTCCCACTGAGCTATGTCCCCAGAACTAATTTTCAGAATTTTACAAAGATACTATACAGTAGTCCTCCCTGATCACTGAGGATCCCGAGACCCCGATTGGTACTGAACCATGCAGCCCATCTGTGCTGTTTCTCCCTGTGTGTACAGACCTGTGATAAAGTATAATTTATAAATTAGGCCCAGTAAGAGATTAACAAAACTAACTGGTAAGAAACTGAAACAGTAGCAATACATTGTAATAAAAGCTATTCTAAAAAAAATTTTAATTGCTTATTTCTGTAATTTTCCCTGTAATATTTCTAACAGTGGTTAACCAAGGGTAACTGAAATAAGTCCTCTCTTCATGCAAAACTGTATTTAAATTGTGGTCCATTCCTTCTCATTGCTGTGCAATATTGTTTCATGTCAATACAGAAGAGCTTATTTAACTCTTCTACCTGTGATGGGACACTAAGCTATACTGGGAGGAAGGTTAATTATAAACAAGGTTGCTGTCTCTGTCCATTTGTCCATTTGTGCTGCTGTGACAAAATACCTGTGCCTGGGTGGTTTATAAGGAACAGAAACTCATGTATCTGGGAAGTGTCTCCCTGGAACTGCTCTTCCCTGCTTCCAAAACAGCACCTGGGGGACCAACACTGTGTCCCCACCTGGCAGAGGGGACCAAATGCTGAGCCTCTTTTATCCAAGACTCCATCCCATGCAGGAGGGGATAGCCAGTGTCCCATCACCTCCTAAAGGCCCCAACCCAGAACACTATCTCATTGGCTGTTGAGTTTAGGGGGACGCATTCAGACCAAAGCAGTGCTTTGGTGCTTCTTATCCTACCTTCAGGAGCTTCCCCTGGGTTTGCAGCCAACGGCAAATTTGCTGGTGGTGGGCTGTGCCATGGACTGCAGAGGCCCAGAAAGAGCGGCTCCTGCAGTCAGTTCCTGGAATGCTTCCCTCTTGTGGGAAGGTGCAGAGGTGCAGAGTCCTCCTAGTTCTTAAGCCTGCTGAAGATTTGCACTTTACCTGCCCAGTTCCAAAGAAAAGAGAGATATAGAAGACACTATTTTCCTGCACGCCTTAATCAGCCCTGCCCAGGCCTCTGGGATTCCCGGCTCTGTGCATCCATGGAGGGTGATGGTCAGGTGCAGACATGCCCTAACCCTGCCCATCCTGCCACCTGGGGCACTGATGTCAGTATTGTCCCTCCCCCCCCCCGCCATGTGCAGATGATGTCCCCTGGGAAGGCTGTGTGGAGTCACAGTGAGCACCAGCCATCCTGGTGTGGTCAGCCTGAGTTCAAATCCACCCCCCCGCCAGTTCACTAGCTGGGAGACTTTGGCCAAGTCCTCCCACACTTCCCACCCTCAGTTTCCATGAGCTGGGAATGAAGAGCCTGGTGAAGTCACCCTGGGGATTAAATTAGTGTGACACATGCACGTCAAGCTCTTACAACAGCACCTGGCACAGTGTGCACATTCAAATTGCTAGACATGTTTTGATTTGTTTCGTTTCGTTTTGTTTTCCATGCTGTAGATAGATCCCAGGGCCTCAAGCAGGCTAGTCATGAGCTCTACCACTGAGCTCTACCCCTAGCCCAATGTATCATTTTTAAATACATAATAACTAAAGTACACCCAGTAAACTGTTAACCAAAGAAATTCCTTCATGTTTGCCAGCTGATGGTATGGTTGTTAACCTTACCAGAAAAACTCCTATTCATCCTTCAAGATCCAATGAAGACATCCTTCCCTCCCTGTCCTCTGACAGCATTTGGTACAAAGTTCTTCATCCCATCTCTTAAGATTGTCTGTATTTACCTGCTTGTGCAGTTTTGATGTTGTTGCTCTTTCTTTCCCCAGCTAGATGAGGACATCTTCCAGGTCAGGGGCTGTTTTTCTCTACTTGTCCGCGTTTCTTTGGTGGCCAGCACAGTCAGTCCTCAGTTAGTGACCTGGGGGGAAGAAGCGGAGCCCGCACAGGGCTGTGTCTCAGGGGTGCATCGGGGTGGCAACAGGGCAGGCAGCAAAGGAAAGTGAGCCAGACCGAGTCCATTCCCTCCCTCTGGCTGCAGTAATTCTGGGGGAGGAAGAGCCAGGCTGTCCTCACACTGCCTCCCACCCGGGCCTGGACCCCATCTGTGCCTTCAGGAGCTCTGGCCAGATGATGCCAGGCTGCACCCCCTTTATTTTCCCGGGCCCTCCTCACCACCTGGCACTGAAGAAGATCGACTGGCGTTCTCCCTGGCCGCTTCCCACCAAGAGTCCCTTCACACTCTTAATCGCATCCAAGATGGGCCTTGCCCGGCGACCGCTGGTGCGAGGAGCTGCTCCATGAGGGTAGTTATTTCCTCTGTTCATGGAATAGCCGCTGAAACGATGAGGTCGCTGCATGCTGGAATGCCTGGGGTGGGGATCTAATCACAGGAAGGATCGCTGGCGAATCATCTCCTCCTGCCTGTCCCCCTCATCATGCACTGCCCCTCCCTTGTAGAACTCCCAGCAGACACCCGCCCTCCCCCCCCCGGAGCCCGTGTCTGTGGGGACACAGGTGCATAGGAGGAAGAACCATTAGCCAGCACATCAGATTCCTCTCCAGTGTGAAGGCCCAGAGCAGAGCGTGCTGCATGCTGCCACTGAACTGGCTCTCCTGGTGCCCATCCTGGACTGCGTTAGACAGGAGTTGCCATGTGGCTGTAGGCAGCCCCTGGGAGTCTGACCCATAACCAAGTGGAAGGAGCTACCTTTAGCCTGGCAGCTGCCTGGTGTGCACTCACCTCCTGCTTAGGCTCTGCACCCCTGATCCTCAGAGGAGGTCAGGCCTTCCTACCATGCAGAGGCTGTCCATTGAGTGTCCTTAGTGTAGGTATCAGGCAGAGGCCCCTTTATCCATATTTGTCAAATGCATGCCTACTATGTGCAGGACACTGCACGGGAACTGTGAAATGGACTTAGCAATGCCATGTCGCCAGGTGTGAAAGACCATGATCATCTTCATATAGCTAGATGATGATAGATAGAGAGATGGACAGATCGATAATGTAGTTCACACTGGGATAGGACTATGAGGAAAAATGAAGAAGGTGGTGTGGAGAGAGCAGTGGGTGGTAGAGAAGATCGAAGGTGGCCAGAGAAAGACCTTCAGGAAGGGATGTGGGAGCAAACACCCAAATGATGAGAGCCAGTTGTCCAAAGATTGGGGAAGAATGTTCTAAGCATCAAACCCCAGTGTACAGGCCTGGCTCTGATGAGCTTGATGCACCTGGAGCACCACGTGGACTGCTGCAGGAATTCATTAGAAACAAGGCCTTAGTGGGTTGGTCCCACCTAGTGCACAGCCATAAATATGGAAGAGGATGTACCATGCACAGTGGATTTCAGGGCAGGCTCCCAGGAGCAAGGGCAGGGTGTGGAGTAAAATGTAGAAGTTTCTGCAAGGCTGCTGGTTGCTGGGTTCTGGGGCTGGAGCTGGAGGTGGACCTGGAGCTGGAGCTGGAGCTGGAGCTGGAGCTGGAGCTGGAGGTGGCCATCCTCAGTTCTGTATCCAGAGACCTCACACTGAAGTTGATAGCTTCACAGCAGCCACAGTGGGAGTGCTTATAACGCCAAACTCAGCAAATGCTACAACCAGGGCTGGCTATTTGTTGGTTGGTTGGTTTGTTTTGAGGGCCAATTTTTCTTTTTTTTTTTTCAAATGGCAAATTCTTTATTTTCATATTAACATCAAAAGACAAACATTAAAACACAGAACACAAGTTGAAATCTTATGACCTGTTTTCAAAGCAGGTGCGAGGACACACAATGACAGGCTAGTTTGACCTTATGTAACTCCAAAACCTCAAATGGAAAACAATCCTGGAGGCAAGAATGAGGGAACTCGTGGGGCAGAGGCCACAATATGCTCAAGAGATGAGAGCCTGGGTCTGGACATAGCCTCCTCCAAGTGCGGTGGGCCAGAGGCCAGGGTGAGGTTTCCTTCTTCAGGGAAAACTATCAGTCAGCTGAATTTGAAGATTTGAGTTGGGGATGTAGCTCAGTGGTATGGTGCATGCATAGCACACATACGGCCCTAGGTTCCTGGAAGCCTCCGCCCAGGTAAATGCACCAACTAGCAAGAGCTGACATTCACCTGCGCCCCTGGGAGTATATCCCCTGGCTGAGGACCAGTTTTTAAACATTTAGCTTTGGGGCCTCTCCGAGAGTCAGTGCAAGGGGGATGGTGCGCCTGCAGGGTCCCCTCTCCCACCTCCCCTCCTCCACTCACCCTATCACCCTGTCCCAGCCACCCTGTCTGCTGGCCAGTCCTTACCCCACCAGCTCTGCTGCTGCACACAGGCTCTTCTGCTGGCTCTTCTTTCACCCACTCTCAACCCCTCACACCACTCCACCCAAACATGCTGGCCTGGCTTCCTACCCTCCTTAGATGTCCCCTTCTCAGTACGTCCCTCTCTAAATGACACTGGCTTACACAGCATGTCCAACTCCAAGCCCTGTTGTCTTTCTCTGTAGCACTTGATACTGTCTCCCTTACGATATCTTTCATGGATTTACCCTTCTTATTCTCTGCCTCACCCATCCAGTATACAAGCCCTGAAGGAAGATTTCTGTTTTGTTCGTCCCTCTATACCCAGCCCTTCAAACCATACCTGGTATGTACTAAGTAGATGCGCATCTTTTGTTGAGTGCATGTATGAGTGGCCTGGTCTGCTTTCTCTTTTCCTCTGTTTTATGTTGTCTCTAATGCAAAACAGTGTTAGACACTGAGGATCAAGAAGGCCTTGCTGCATGTGAGGAATCCAAGCCACCCTGTATTAGTCTGCTTTCCAGTACTATCACAAAACACCTGAGTTAGTCAACTTATGAGGGGGGAAGGTTTGCTTTTACTCATGATTTCAGAGATTTCAGTCCATGTCCTGCTACCCTTCTACATCTCCTACATCTGTTTCTTACTTGTTACTTTATAAGAAATTATAGAGTAAGTATATTTTCCCAGTGTATATATTAAATAGACCTGGTCAAATCTTGGTAAACTTGATTATAACAAAAGTCTTTAGTTTATCTTTTGAAGCTAATGGATATTATTGGTCTCTATAAGTTTTTATATAAATAATGAAATTTGAAATACTGAAAACCATGTTAATTTTTAGAATTCATTTTCTTTTGTGGAGACAAGTGATGTATTAACTTCTGGGAACAAACTTGTATAGGTTTTAGTTGAATTATCCAAACAGAAGCATTTAAACCTTTTGCCTTTGCACCAATCTACAGTGCTTGCTTTTTTATTTTTTGGTACTGGGGATTGAACTTGGGTCCTTGTGCTTACAGGGCAAGTGGTGGAATCACTGAGCTAAATCCCCAGCCCTAATCTTTGCTTTTTAAAGTAAAGTGTTTGTATTTGTAGTCTTCATATTTTGGAGTAATTATGTACATGGTGTTTATAGGTTTGTGCTTTTTCACATAAGAAACAGAATCTCATTCCATGCATTTAATTTTCTAACAGTCAAGAACCTCAACCTTGATGTGCTATTGAGAGCCACAAAATCTAGAATGAGTGTATTTACAACAGGGTGTGCATTTCACCCCTTGAATCACTTAGAAAAGTGTCTCAGAAAACCCAGACAGTCCCCTCTCTCTTCAAAGGAATTTTGTATGTATTTATGAAGATGAATTCTGTATTCTAGTAAATTTGGGGCGGCATGGACTAATTTGTATCTTCATACTCATATTCTGCACCATCTGTATATAATACATGAAACTTAGAGAGATGACTTTAAATTAACTTTTAGAAAAACTGGGAGGTCCATAAAATTTAAATTGCTTTTAAAAATATCTGTAGCTCATGGTGAGTCAGCACACTGTGGGGAATGTGTAGCAGGGAAAGATGCTCACTTCATGGCAGTCAGGAAGCAAGGAGAGGGAAGGGAGCCGGGTCCCTATGTCTCCTGCCAGAGAACCCCCCCGCCATGACCCAACTTCCTTCCAATAAGTTCCACCTCTTAAAGGTTCCATTACCTCCCCATAGCACTATGGGCTGGGGACCAAGCCATTAGCACAGCCCAGTGAGAGCAGTGAGACTCTTACCTAGATCCAAACATCGGTCCACACCACCAGCAAGGTGCGTCTGGCAGCAGCCCTCTGAGCCCCTCTGTATCCCACAGCATTTAATGAAACATTCTCCACCCTGGATCTTTAGCATCCAGAGGTTGCAATTGTGCTGGGTGGAGCTCGTGTGTCCCTGGCACACTTCCCCTACTCATTTCTGGGTGCAGTGATTGCTATGATGCCCAGCATCCTTTCAGGCCATTTCACGGCAGAGTCTTGCTAATTTCCCTGGGCTCATTTCAACTTGTGATCCTCCTGCCTTAGGCTCCCAGGTAGCTGGGATTACAGTAGTGCAGTACCACACCCATGCTATACTTGTGTGTGTGTGTGTGTGTGTGTGTGTGTTTCTAGGAATTGAAATCAGGGCCTTCACACTGAGCTACCTGCCCAGTCCTCTTAGCATTTTTTATTTTGAGACGGGGTCTCCCTAAGCTATTATATTGTCCAGGGTGGCCTCAAACTTGCAATCCTCCTGCCTCAGCCTACCGGAGTGCTGAGATTAAAGGCATGTGCCACCACACCCAGCTTGTGCCACCCTTTTATACAGGCTGCAGTACAGTGAGTTTGTTGACTACAGACACAAGAGTTATGTACTTCACTCTGACATCACAAGACTGTAAGGTCACTCAGTGCTGGGACATCTTCAGCTTTGTTACCATCATATGGAACCATAATCAAACACATGGTCTCCATGGCCTAAAACATCATTGTGTGGAGCATGACTATAATTGGATTACACTTCTTAGTTTCTATCAATGGCCAGGGTCAACATTTATTTAAAACTACATACTCCAGACATTCAGGAAATCTGTTGCGCTTTTCTGAGAATGGCTGGTGTGTTACTCATGTGTCACCATAATGAATACCTGAGATAATCAGGTTTATTTTGACCCATTTTGGAGATTCTAGTCCATGAGCAGTTGGCACTTTATGGCCACACCCCCAGTGACCTAAAGACCTCTCATCAGGCCCTGCCCCTGACAGGTTTTACCACCTTCCAGTTGTGCCTTCCTGGGAACCTGGACTCCAACACATGGACATTCAGGGGACACTTAGGACCCAAACTCTAGCAGCCTGTTCACCTCTGCTCCTCCTGTATGCTCAGGCATTGCCCTGGACTCACAGCTGTAGATGGGTTGAGGGTGGAGACCACCCAGAAAGGCAAGAAATAAGAGGTGAGAAAAAGAATAATAGAGGATATGTTTACATGTGTGGTGGAAGAGGACCTCTCCGAGGAGGTGACATTTAAGCTGAGCCCTAAAGCATGTTAAGGCAGAGTTAGCCATGGGAAGAGCAGAGGGGGGTGGCCTTCTGGGCATAAAGGGGAGGGGAGGGACCCTGAGCTCAGATGTGGCCTTC